TCTCCTCTCCACAAGGTTTCATGATCTTGCTGACAGACATGACACTGAACATGAAGTGTGGCAGAAGAAAAGCTGCATGTTTGTTTATAAATACATGTATTTTATGACCTGGGGTGTTTTCTTTAAGTGTAGTTTTAAATATATACATTGAGCTCAAAGCATGCATTAGGTAATGGAGAAGGGCTCCAACTACCAATGTGTCCAGGAAATGTTGCCTTTACATTATTATTTAAGAAAATGCTGATCATTAAAGCATTTTTCAGTCTCTTTGCTGCAACAAGTAAAGTCCTCAGTGTGACTCAGCCTTTAGTCTTCAGCCATTCAAGTTATAATAGGTCATATACCAGACAGGTCTTGCTGCCCAGTTCTGCATGTCTGGTTCTTGTTTGTTCAGGATTTAGCTTGTTGCAGCACATTTTAGCTGACAAAGACTAAACGTTTGCATTAGGAGATGATAGAATTGCCCAAATATATATGTTTAAAGAAAAAAAACAGGGGGAAAAATCTCTAAAGATCTTTGGGGGAAAAAGATCTTTAGAGATTTTTAGAAAAAAGGGAGGGGGAGCAGTTGATAAACACTTTTTCCTTGGCTTTTTGAGGGTTTTTTGCTAGCCATATTTGCCATAGCTTTTCCTGTACATTTGCTGAGTAATTTCTTCCCACATACTCCCCTAATTCAGAAAGTTTAGTTGGACCACAAAAAACAAGATTCCTAGCGTTGACAACTGATATAATCTTAACTTGTTTATTTTAAAGTATTAATAAAAAAGTCTGTTTTCTGGACTGCATTTCTGAATCCACCAGCAGTTATAGTAAACCAGTGTTAGGTTAGAAACGATATGCAAATCTCGCCACGCTACTGTGAGCAAGAAAGAGATGTCTGAGCGAATGCAAACTCAACCGCACAAGGCTCGTGGGGCCCCTCAAACCCTCTGTTCTTGAATATTAATTTTCAACATAGCCTAGTGCTACAGTTTTTTCCAGCAGATCAGTGACAAAAGAAGTATTTTAAGAAGCAGTTGGTCCTGTTCTGGCAAGTTCTTTCTGTAAAATGTAAACACGTACAGTAGTTTACACACTATGTGAAACACCCCATCTGAGAACTTCAAAAAATAAAATACTTGCCTTAAAATTGTTTTTATTTTTACTTTATGTGTAAAATCCTTTTATATATTTGGCGTTTCACAAGAAAATACCACATACCACAATGCTGTATTGAGTACCAGTCACTCTTTTGTGTAGACTTAATCTTAAACCCTTCAAAACAGTCATTATCACCTGATGGTATCAGAAAGACACAGGTCCGGGCAGGCAAACCTTGGATTTTGCTCAGCTTGTTGGAGCCAAATTATTACAATGTATAAAATCTGGAAAATGCATGATGTAAGTGCAAAGGGATGGATGGGAATAATGAAGATGAAAGCCAAGCAGGCGATGGCTATCCTGATGTGATATCTAAAGTTTATCTTAATCCCCATCCAAAGATTATGTTTTTAAAAATCACCTGGAATAGGAGCGTGCATCTGAGCGTGTAGCAGTGTTCGAACTCTGACATGTTTTTACTTTTCAGGTCAGAGGGAAACTCCGGTATTTGCTATGCCGCTGCTGCTTGTGATGGATTCTTGGGTAGAGTGTCTCTTCCAGGCAACCTTTTACTGGGAGATGAAGTGCAGCAAATGTAAAACACCTGTGAGAAAAAGGTAGGTTCATTTATTTTTAACCAGCTGAGGTGTACAAAATACTGCATTACACTTTATTCCATAAAACTTGATCTTTGTGTAACCACAGC